AGGTACAGAATGATATTTCACAGTGTGTTATTTCCCGAAGCTGATAAATGCTTTGGCATATTGCAAAGTTTCTTGGTGTCCGGCACCCCCTCCTTTCCATGCATGAAAGTAGTTTTTTTGGGATAAATACGCAGTTATCTCACAGAATCAAAAGACCAAATGAGACCAGGCAGCAAGCAAAAGGAACTTCTGCAGTAGCTCAGCTTCAACCTCTTTTTGAACTCCACCCCTTTAATGTTGCCCTAAGAGATCCCCTTTCCTTTTCATGAAAGACTCCCCACATCACTCCACAGGTTCCCTTCTCCAACCCTCCTTCTCGTCCCATCACAATTTCCACAAAACATTTACGATGCAATCCTATGCAGTCTAAACTCACTGGCTTCAATTGACTTAAATTGGAGTAACGTTGCATAAAGGTAAAGGTAAAGGTTCCCTTGCTCGAAAGCCAGTCGAATCCGACTCTAGGGTTGCGGTGCTCATCTCCGTTTCCAAGCTGAAGAGCCAGCGCTGTCCGAAGACATTTCCGTGGTCATGTGGCTGGCATGACTAAACACCAAGGCGCACGGAACGCTGTTACCTTCCCACCGAAGTGGTACCTATTTATCTACTTGCAATGTCTTGCTTTCGAACTGCTAGGTTGGCAGGAGCTGGAACTAGAGACGGGAGCTCACTCCGTCATGTGGCACCCGGTCTCGAACTGCTGAACTACTGACCTTTCACAGCCTGCAGTTCAGCATCTTAACCACTTGAGCCACCGCAGCTCCGTTGCATAGGACTGCATTATTTTTCTCTCTCTACCATGTGTATAATTTTATAAACCTTTATCATGTCTCTCCCATAGTCAGATCTTTTCTAAACTGAAAAGTCCCAGATTCTCCAACCTTTCCCCATAGGGAAGGCGCTCCAACCCCTTAATCATCTAGGTTGCCCTCTTTTTTATTTTTTTTCCAGCTCTGTTGTATCGTTTTTGATATTCTTTTTATCTTCAGACCATATCTTAAGGTACTGTTTGTGGTCCGCAAATGCAAAAAAATATATCCCAGATTGGTAAATGTAAAAGATGCATAAAAGTCAAGGTTGAATTTGGAAAGGAAGCATAATTTACTCTGTTTCTGTTTTCATGTTAAGGGTGCACGTCACAAAACGGCACAATTCTCTTTCTGCACAAAAGCACGGGGAGTTTAGTCGAAAGCACATACCCAAGACAGAGAGCTTGGCTTTGGTCTCTGCACTCCCAGCTTTGCATTTGTAGACACCAGAGTCTCCGATATTGAGCCTCAAGATCTTGAGTTCTGCCATATTCTTATCTCTCTTTGGTTTAAACCTCTCCGAAGGCTCAATGAGAGTGTGGTCTTTATACCATTCCACAGTCTTTGGCGAAGGCTTGAAGTCACAGGAGAGGACAACTGAATGAGTTTCCAGAACAACCTTATCTTCTAGGGGTCTGGTAATGGTCACTTGGAGATCTACAGAGAGGATATTAAGTTCAAAGATGCATCATTTGATTTCAGACTTGGGGAAACGACGCGTATTTTTGCAACACAAAAAGGCAGGTAGGTAAAACAAACAAAGTTTTTGTGGCATCTTAAATTGTTTAAAGCATGTACATATTTATTCTAGCATTACATTTTAGGGATTGGGGTCTACTCTGTGGAAGCTGTGTGACAGAGTGTGGGACTGGATGGGCCATTGGCCTGATCCAACATTGGCTTCTCTTATGTTCTTACATCTGAGGCAAGGGATGCACTGTATTCTTGGTGCTTGGGGGGGGGCAACAGTGGGAGGGCTTCTAGTTTCCTGGCCCCATTGGTGGACCTCCTGATGGCACCTGGTAGTTCTGGCCACTGTGTGACAGAGTGTTGGACTGGATGGGCCATTAGCCTGATCCAACATTGGATTCTCTTATGTTCTTATGGATAAACATATGGAGCAGAGATCCATCAGTGGTTCTCCGGATTAGAGTCCTCCACTCTTAACTACTACACCACGCTGGCTCAGTAGATCCAGGGCAGACAAAAGGAACTCTCTCTTCACTCAAAAGAAGGATTTTGGCATTCACTGTTGTGGGATTCAGTGATGGCCATTCCTTTAGCTAACTTTAATTAACTGTTCAGTTTGATTAGGAAAAAGTTAACGCCACCTCTCTGAAGACCTGCTGTAAAAAGAGGATTATTACAACAAACAGGACCACGGTGTAATGTAGCCAGTAACTGTGAAATACTCATTGTGCTTGTCTGCTTTTTTCTAGAATAAGCATTGTAGCGTACATCAAAAAATTGTATAAGAATTAGCATTCTGAAATATGGGTGAGTTTATAAATTGTAAAATGCTCCTCTATATTAGAGTAAATTTTATGTTTTTGGTTATTAAGCATGTGACGCTCCATTGCAGCTTGCAGCACTTCATTCTAATGAAGATATAAGTACAGAATGACAAACCTGAAGAAGGGCTCGCAAACGGATAGTGTACTAGAACTCCGTCGTTTGTCTGAAACTAGTACTGTAGTATTCTATATGTACTGCTAAGCTTTGTATTGCATATTATAGTGTTATGGTTGTAATTTTGTTTATAACGGAATTCTAAAACATTGCAGATAAAAATCAACTTATATTGTTTATTTGTACATGGTGATTTACTGTTTTACTGGTAAAAGAGGATTAGACAAATTCACAGAGGAGAGCTCCATCAATGGCTATTCACCATGAAAGATTACACAGAACCTCCATGTTCACAGTCTCCTCTGAATACCAGTCCCGAAGGGCAAAACCCAGGGAAGTCTTGATCTCTTTGCCTTGTTGGTAGACCTTCCAAGGACACCTGGATCCAATACGGCTGGATCCAAGATGACTGCTCTTCGGGGGTTTTTGCTCTAGGTAACGTAACATTCTCGGGAGCAGACACCCCGAAAGCCAATTCTGTTTCGAGCCACATACCTTTCACGACCAAGTTTGCCAAGGACTTCGCTTTGCCAAGGGCAAACTGGATGGTGCCCGTCATGTCCACGTCGGTCTTCTTCAGGATGAGGCGGTGGACGGTCCCCTCTTGCTCTATCACGACGTCCTTGCCGGGCTGCAGGAGCTCTCCGCGGAGAGACCACTTGGGGGGCCTGACGGACCGGATGGAGATCTCGCACTCGAACCTGGCTTCCGCTGGCTCTGTTACCTCCACGTCCTTCAGCTCCCTCACGATGTTTATTGATTGCTCTGAAGAGAAGCGGAAATGAAGAAGAGAGGGAAGTTAACGGCCTGCTGCTGCCGGGAGATCTAGACTCGGCATGGGCTCTGACGGTTCCGTTTAGCTAAAGATGGATCTTTCCTTTGATACCAGGAGTTGTCAGTGGCGGATCATGGCTCTTCTACAAGATTCGACTCCCTGCACTGGGGGAACGCTCCGCCGTTAGCAGAATGAATAGAACTTCTGGATCTGGCCCACTGTTAAATGCTTTATCATAGGCTATCATCGATTTTACACCGGAAATACTACCTTACACAGAGAGTGATAAAAATGTGGAATTCGCTGCCAGAGGATGTAGTGATGGCCACAGGAAGAAACAGCTTTAAAGGGGGGTTAGATAGTTTCATGGAGGATAAGTCAATCAACAGCTGCTAGCCATGGTGACCGAGGGGAACCTCCACATTCAGAGGCACTAATTCTCTGAATCGCAGAGCCAGGAGGCAACATATGGGGAAGGCTTTGGCCTCTTTGCCCTGTTGTTGGCTGTCCAGAAGAATTGTTTGGCCATCATGTGAGATGGAATACTTTACTAGATGAACCATTGGTCTGATCCAGCAGGGCTCTTCTTACTCTATCAAGTACTCTATCAGAGAGAGAGGGAGAGGGAGAAGGAGAGAAAGAGAGGGAGAGGGAGGGAGAGAGGGAAGGAGAGAGGGAAGGAGAGGGAGGGAGGGAGAGAGAGAGAGGTCCTTTCTGCACTAGACCTTAAATCCTGGTTCAATCCTGTCCCTGAACTTACATTCTACACTACACATGAGTTCACTCCTGTAATTATCTTGGGGTATTTTTACATTCTACTCTACACTCAAAATCACCCCTGTAATTATCTTGGGGTATTTTTTGTTTCCACGTTGTATTGAGGTCACCCCAGTTTCGCCCCACACTTGTCCCGGGATAAACGGATGCTGTTATAACCAGGGATAAATGCAAGGTATTGTGTCCCGAGTTGATCGAAGTGCAGAGAGGACCAGAGAGAGACCAAGAGAGAGTGGGAAGGAACAGAGCTGTCTCATCGACTCTAATCATGGTGCTGTTACAAACCCTGAATAATGCACCTTCAATTCACTTTCAATCCACTTTGCAACTGGATTTTACTGTGTGAAATGGCAACATTTGCTCACAATTGATAGCTAAAGTATGTTGAGGGTGATTCTGCACTAGACCTTAAATCCTGATTCGACCCTGTCCCCAGACTTACATTCTACACTACACGCGAGTTCACCCCTATAATTATCTTGGAGTATTTTTATATTCTACACTACACGCGAGCTCACCCCTATAATTATCTTGGAGTATTTTTATATTCTACACTACACGCGAGTTCACCCCTATAATTATCTCGGGGTATTTTTTGTTTCCACACTACATTGAGGTCAGCCCGGTTTCGCCCCACACTTGTCCCGGGATAAATGGATGCTGTTATAACCAGGGATAAATGCAAGGTGTTGGTCCTTTCTGCACTTGGATCTCATCCCTGGTTTTATCAGAGTTCAACTCGCGACACAACACCTTGCATTTATCCCTGGTTGTAACAGCATCCGTTTATCCCAGGACAAGTGTGGGGCAAAACTGGGGTGACCTCAATGTAATGTGGAAACAAAGAATACCCCGAGATAATCACAGGGGTGAACGCGCGTGTGGCGTAGAAGGTAAATTCAGCGACAGGGTTGAACCAGGATTTAAAGTCTAGTGCGGAAAGGACCTTTGTGTTGCAAGTTGAATTCTGATAAAATCAGGGATGAGATCCAAGTGCGGAAAGGACCTGAATGTGCATTGTTCAGTGTGTGCGAAAGTGCCCTAAACAAGAGGCAGAACGTTTTGAAAGGGCCATTAAGATAGATTAACGGAGGATAGGTATATCAATGGCTACTAGCCCTGGTGGCTGACGGGAAGAAAAAGGCTGGCCACTATTTGAGGCAGGAAGAAGAAGAAGAAGAGATTGGATTTATACCCCGCCCTTCTCTACCCAAAGGTGTCTCAGAGCGGCTTACAAACTCCTTTCCCTTCCCCTCCCCACAACAGACACCCTGTGAGGTCGGCGGGGCTGAGAGAGCTCTAACAGAAACTGCTCTTTTTCAAGAACAGCTGTGCCAAAACTATGGCTTGCCCAAGGTCATCCAGCCAGGTGCAAGTGGAGGAGTGGGGAATCAAACCCGGTTCTCCCAGATTAGAGTCCGCGCACTTAACCACTACACCAAACTGGCTCTCAGTCTCAGGATACTGGACTAGATGGACTATTGGTCTTATCCAGAACGCTCTTCTGATGTTTTTATGTACCTGGTCGCCCATCCAAATGCTGACCAAGGCCGACCCTGCTTAGCTTCCGAGATCTAACAAGATAAGGCTAGTCTGGGCCAATCAGGTCAAGGTGAGAGATAAACACTGCTGTCAGCGAGCTGCCATCTCTTTGCTGGGTCGCCTCAATGTCTTCGCGCTCATGCTTGTTTAGCTTTACCCGTGTGAAAGGAACTTGTGTTTAGGAAACCGGGCGTTACTTTCTCATGTAACTTCGCGCCCTTTCTAAGCTCCCCGTTTCCAGCGGGAAGTAGGACCATTAGTCCAAACCTTGTTCAAAATCCTTTTATTATACCTGTACTGCTGACAAACGTCATTCCAATCAATTTCTGTATGTTCGTGATCAACCATGTCTTTAAAATAAATCTTGCTTTACTTTTAAACGTGGATCTATTCTCATGCTTAGGGATCTAACAAATTGATTGGAATGACGTTTGTCAGCAGTACAGGTATAATAAAGGGATTTTGAACAAGGTTTGGACTAATGGTCCTACTTCCCGCTGGAAACGGGGAGATTAGAAAGGGCGCCAAGTTACATGAGAAAGTAACGCCCGGTTTTTTAAACACAAGTTCTTTTTACACGGGTAAAGCTAAACAAGCATGAGCGCGAAGACATAACTCTTACTTCTCACCAGCTGGCGACCTTGGTTGCAGCAGATGCCTAACAGAGAAAACACTTCAACAACAGAAGATAGGGGGGGGGGGGAAGGAAGGGACGTGAGGCGACCCAGCAAAGAGGTGGCAGCTCGCTGACAACTGCCTACCTCTGCGTAGCAACCCTGGACTTCCTCGGTGGTCTCCCATCCAAGTACTCACCAGGACCAACCCTGCTTAGCTTCCAAGATCCGATGAGCTAAGGCTAGTCTGGGCCACCCAGGTCAAAGCAAGAGGTACACAGAGGTGGTGTGCCACTGCCTGCCTCCCCATAGCAACCCTGGACTTCTCTCTCGCTCCCACGTCCCAGTACTTAAGATCGGCCATTCTGAGCCATCAAGGTCAGGGTAGACCTCTCTTGGGGGGGGGATAAAATACTTTCAACCAGCCCTGCCAGAAAGCCAGTAGTCCTCTTGGCTGTTACACAATGCAGATGCAAAGGGCGTGCTCTCTGTTTCATGGGCTCCATCCTTACTTGCTAGCAGGGGTCATTCAATAGAAAAAGAGGTGCAGGCGCTCATTAGCATAACTCATTCGTATAACTTATTTGCATATGCCACACCCCCTGACAACACCCACTGCTCAGGCTCCACTGGACTGTTTTGGATTGCTAGCTATTGTGGTGGGGGGGGGAGGAACATGCAGATCTGTCCTCACAGAGGAGGGAGAGCTTGTACCTGAATAAAACTTGGTCTTAAAGGTGCCACTGGACGGTTTTGGACTGGGGGGGGCGGGGGGGGCTCTGCAGCTTACCTGGCTGCTTCTTGCCCTGACTGAGGGCTGCTGGGAGCAGGGGGTGGAGCTTGTTGCATGTGCTCGCCCCCCGGGCTCTTTACTGCCGGAGCTCCGCTCCTGTGCGCTCCTGCAGGAAATGACCCCTGCCTAGCCAAGAAATGGGAGATACCTTCCACGTAGAACTGAGCACTGCATTGATCGTCGATGGCGTCACAGGTGTAAATATCCTCGTCATCAAACTCCGTGTCATTGATGATCAGCTTCCGGAAGACCCCGTCGCTTACAATCTCATACTTCTGGCTTGCAAAGATCTCTTGGTTGTTCTTGTACCATGTGACCTCAGCATTGGGGCGGGACACCTGGCACTCCAGAAAGCCCCGGTGTTTCTCGAGAGCGATCTTGATGCGGAGAGGTTTTATAATCTTTACGGGCAGTTCTAAAGGAGAAGATTTGTTTTAAAAGACTGAACATTCGACAACAGTAATGAAAACCATCACAACAGTTCAAGCTTGTGTAGAGATGTAGAGAGTTCTAAGGCTCACACAGATTAGGTCAGTAGCCGTAGAAAAGAAGAGAAGAGATTGGATTTATATCCTGCCCTTCCCCCGGAGTCTCAGAGAGGCTTACAAACTCCTTTCCCTTCCCCTCCCCACAATAGATACCTTGTGAGGTAGGTGGGGCTGAGAGAGCTCTTGACAGAAACAGCTCTTTTTCAAGAACAGCTCTTATCAGAACTATGGCTTGCCCAAGGTCATCCAGCCAGGTGCAAGTGGAGGAGTGGGGAATCAAACCCGGTTCTCCCAGATTAGAGTCCGTACACTTAACCACTACACCAAACTGGCTCTCAAACCAAACTGGTGTCCAGTAGCACCTTCAAGACTAACAACATTTGTGGCAGGGGAGGAGCTTTCGCGACTCACTGCTCACTTCTTCAGATTAGGTCAGTAATATTTTCTCTTTAAAAATTTACTGCCCGACTACTTCAGACAAGTGATCCCTATGGCAAATCTCATGTTAAATACCGCTACTATTTAAGCAGTGATAATTGCTACTAACGAGGGATATTCCCAACCTTCCAACTCCAAAATAGGACATGTTTATCAGTTTTTTTAAAAAAGAGCCCATAATAATAATAATAATGTGTGAAGCATAGCCAGGAGATCCTAAGATTGTCTGGCAGCCAGAAGTTCTAGCTCTTTAGCGTTATGCACCACTAGGTGGTGAGCTAAGCTTGTTTCTGAGACAAGAGATATTTCAGAGGTAGTTTGCCATTGCCTGCCTCTGTGTCACGAGCGCTCCCTCTAAGCTGAGTTAGTGTGAGCTAGCTCACAGCTTTTTAGCCTCCGGCTCACACATTTTTGTCTTTGCTCAGGAAGGAGGGCTCCAGAGCAAACCAATTTATGCAGCAGCCAAATCGCTTGCTCACAACTTTAATGCCAGTAGCTCACCAAGTGGGATTTTTGCTCACAAGACTCCACAGGTTAGAAGGAACATTGGTCACGACCCTGGTATTCCTTGGAAGTCGTCGCCCATTCAAATATTAGCCAGGGTCGACCCTGCTTAGCTTCCAAGATCTGATGGGGTCGGCTTAGCCTGGGCCATCCAAGTCAAGGCAAAATAGCCCAAAAGAGAACAGACACACACACACACAAAGAGGACATGTCCTATAAAAAGAGATAATCTGGTAACCCTATTTAAGATGCTTGTCTCCTCGAGGCTAAATGATGGTCTATGAAAATGGACCCTCCACGCCCTTATTGTTGCCAAAAGCAGGGGTCATTTCCTGCAGGAGCGCACAGGAGTGGACCTCCGGCAGTAAAGAGCCCAGGGGGCGGGCAAATGCAACAAGCCCCACCCCCTGCTCCCAGCAGCCCTCAGTCAGAGCAAGAAGCAGCCAGGTAAGTTGCAGAGCGCCCCCCCGGCCCCCCAGTCCAGTGGTACCTTTAAGACCAAGTTTTATTCAGGTACAAGCTCTCCCTCCTCTCTGAGGGCAGATCTGCGTGTCCCCCTCCCCCACTAGATAGCAATCCAAAACAGCCCAGTGGCACCTGAGTGGTGGGTGTTGCCTTCTGACACACTCATGGCGATGTCAGGAGGTATGGCATATGCAAATAAGTTATGCTAATGAGTTATGCAGGAGCTCATTAGCACAACTCATTTGCAAAACTCATTTGCATATACCACGCCCCCTGACATCACCGGAAGTGTATCAGAAGGCAACACCCACCGCTCAGGCGCCACTGGGCTGTTTTGGATTGCTAGCTAGTGGGGGAGGGGGACATGCAGATCTGCCCTCAGAGAGGAGGGAGAGCTTGTACCTGAATAAAACTTGGTCTTAAAGGTACCACTGGACTGGGGGGCCGGGGGGGCGCTCTGCAACTTACCTGGCTGCTTCTTGCTCTGACTGAGGGCTGCTGCGAGCAGGGGGTGGGGCTTGTTGCATTTGCCCGCCCCCTGGGCTTCTGTTGCCCCAGAAGGTTGGACCAGAACCAATGGGTTGAAATTAAATCAAAAGAGTTTTCAGCTAAACATTAGGGGGGGGGGGGCAACAGTGGGAGGGCTTCTAATGTCCTGGCCCCACTGGTGGACCTCCTGATGGCACCTGGTATTTCTGGCCACTGTGTGACACAGAGTGTTGGACTGGATAGGCCTTTGGCCTGATCCAACATTGGCGTCTCTTATGTTCTTATGAAAGAGGAAAAGAAAGAAGGCGAGAAGGAGCAGGGGGTGGGGCTTGTTGCATGTGCCCGGCCCCCTGGGCTCTTTACTGCCGGGGCTCCGTTCCTGTGCGCTCTTGCAGGAAACGACCCCTGGATAAAATTATAGCAATAAATAATCATCATTACCTTTCACTCTCAATTGCGCTCGAGATTCCGCGGTTTCCGCAATGAACTTGATCTCTGCAGAATCCTGCACCTCCACGCTTTTGTAGACGAGGGCGTAACTCTTCCCTGCAAGCAGAAAGACTGATTCAGTTGCGGAACACAGCACTGAGACAAAATCCCTCCACCCACCAAAGCAGAACTGTATTTAAGAACCGTAAACGGTACCAAAGAGTTCAAGAGGATTTGCAATTCAAGGCAAACGCAGAATTTTTTCATCCACTAAGCACAAGACAGCTAGTGTGGTACCGTGGTTAGGGTTGTTGTTGTTGTTATTGTTAGTGTTATTGTTAGTATTATTGTATGGCATCAGGGCTATTTTGGGGCAGGAACGCACAGGAACGCACTTCCGGCTGGCTCCCAAGTTGGCCACGCCCAGCAGGAACTCATTAGCATAACAGGCCACACCCAACAGAAGAAACTCATTAGGATTGGCTACATTAGGGGTGTGTGGCCTAACATGCAAAGGAGTCCCTGCTACAAAAAAAAGGCCCTGGGTTTTGACAACAAAGTGAACAGAATAAGAAGCAAAAGGTGGGTGTGGCTGGATGACCACACCTCTGGTAACATGGGGGTGCGGCCTAATATTCTAATATGCTGTGGTGTCAAGGGTGTGGCCTAATATGCTAATTAGTTTCTGCTGCTGGGTGTGGCCTATTATGCTAATGAGTTCCTGCTGGGCTTTTTCTACAAAAAAGCCCTGTATGGCATTGTATGTAGAATAGCCAGGAGATCCTGAGATTGTCTGGCAGCCACAAGTTCTAGCTCTTAGTATTATGCACCACCAGGTGGCGAGCTAGTGTTATTTTAGGGGCTGAGATAGCTCTGAAAGAACTGTGACTGACCCAAGGTCACCCAGCTGGCTTCACATGGAGGACGAGTGGGGAATTGAACCCAGTTTTCCAGATTAGAGGCCACCGCTCTTAGCCACTGCACCAAACTGACTCTCTAGTGGTTATTATTAGTGGTTTATTATTATTAGTGGTTAGAGTGACAGACTAGGGCGTGGGAGACCCAGGTTCAAATTCCCACTCTGCTTTGGAAGCTTGGCTGAGTGACTTTGGGCCATTCAGGCACTCTCAGTCTAACCTACCTCACAGGGCTGCTGTGATGATATAATGGTGGAGAAGAGAGGATGTAAGCTGCTTTCCATTCCCCATTGGGAGGAAAGGCGGGGTATAACTAAAGTAAATAAAATGCATAACTCTGGGGCCATCAACAAGAAATTGATGCAGCTAAAAATGCATGAATATCAGACACGGGACCAATTTATCCCTTCTACCAGTCACCCTTCACCTCTCCCCTTCCTACCTTCTTGACGCAGCTTGACGTTGTCTCCAGCCCGGATTTTGCTTTCGTTACTGTACCACTGGGTTTGTACGTCGTCGTGGGAGATTTCACAGAGGAAAGACGCGCTCTCCTTTTCACTGACTTCCACGTCCTCCAAGGGCTTCACAATCTTGATATCTCGAGCTAAAGGTTCACAGAGATGGGGTCATCATAAGATACTTGTTCCTTCTCTTGTTTTGTTTAAATCAGGGGTGTCAAACATGCAGCCCGTGGGCCGGATCAGGCCCCCAGAGGGCTTCTATCAGGGACTGGCTGTCTCCTGCCTCTTCCTCCAGTTCTGCTGCTGCTGCTGCATTACAGCTTGCTTTCGCAGACTTTCTCAATCGCTCAGGAGAGGTAGATAGACAAGCTTCTGCTCCCTGCACTGGGCTGATTGCCACAGCACAGAAATTTTGATGCACTAATTCAGAGCAAGAAGTGTCAGTTATCAGAGACTGTTAAATAAGCAAATTATTGCAAGAATGCTAATATTTCAAGCATGTTTTTCATTTAAAAAAAACCTTTGTGTTTGTGTCCTTTATAAAGTTTATATCTTCGCTACCTGGCATTACATTTTATGACACACATGGCCCGGCCCAACAAGGTCTCATTTATGCGAGATCCGGCCCTCATAACAAATGAGTTCGACACCCCTGGTTTAAATAGTCTCCACACTAGAATCTCCTGTTGTGCCCTCCCATCTTTTAGTTACAAACACAAAAGTGGTAGCAGCAAATAAGTGGCAAGAATGGATAGGGTCTGGGCCCTCTGGCTCATACCCATTGGCCCTTTCTGCGCTCTCTGTTTTAATCCATGCTTGCCGCAATGTCCTCCAAGCAATTCTGCTCCAAAATCTAATTCAACCTTCTTTTTAATTTGGGTTCCCCCCCCCCCCCAATGCACTAAAATGGAGTCAACCTTTTTATTCTGGGTTTTTCTGTCATTCTGCGTTTCATTACCTCCCTTCAGTGGTCAGCCCGGTTTCAGCCCGCTATTGACCTGGGCTATTTGGATGCTGTTTTGCCGTGGAGTTAAATTGCCTCGACTCAAACACTGAGACTGGTTTCACACAAGAGCTGCGCCGATTTCACCCGAATTTCCCCACAGTTTCGTGATCCTGTTTTTGGAGGATCACGAAACCTCGGGGGAAATCGGGCAAAGCCGCGGGTCAAAATGCGGCCGCGCGGCTTCGAGTGGGAAATTGACCAATAGAAGCGGGGGAAAGGGAGGCACGACCGCGGCGCAGCTCTTGTGTGAAATCGGTCTGAGAAAATCCAGAGTAACAGGCAAATGCGGAAAGAACCTTCGATGGTTTTGTTCACCAGCTTCACTGCTATCTACTGATCTACACCGTTTCACACTCAGAAAAAAGACCTGCAACACCACAAGATCACCTTTATCTCTCTCTCTCTCTTTTTTTTTGCTCCCCAATGGGGAATTTTTATTGCATTTTTATTAAAACTACAAACTAGAACAGAAATAAGGGAGGGGACTACATTTAAGGGGATAAAGAAAAGATACCCACTACTGACTAAAAACCCAAGAGAGGTGATCTTCTGATCAGCTTGAATACACATCTAGTCTTAATCATATTAATCTCATTACAAACTGAGTCACATAGTCTGTTAACTTTTCCCACATCTTAAATTTAACTGATATCAGGAAATACCCCAAAGCATCTCAATTCAAAATTTTTCAAAGACACAATTTAGAGTCCTTCAGCCTTCACTTCTACTTGTCCAGTCTCTTCCGCAACTTATAAGGACTTTTAGGAACTACTACCCCTTTCTCAGACAGAGAGTCCTCTCTAGAAGAACCCGAGTCCAGTTCGCCACTGGACTTGCTGTCCCCTTCTTTTTCTTCCTCCTCTGGCCCTCCCAGCTGGACTCTTAAAAATTCTCTCGCTTTCAGAACAGAGTCAATCTTTTCTTTTTTATCCTTAATTTTGAAGGTGACGCCTTCTGGAATTAGCCATCTATATCCAATCTACACCGTTTCACACTCAGAAAAAAGACCTGCAACACCACAAGATCACCTCTCTCCATCAACGTCATGTATTAAGCTTCGTGTCACATGCATTGCTGTGTGCTCCATCACTCTGTGAAGTCACGTTGACTTCAGTCAAGGAGCAGAGCATTTTCTTTCTTTCTATTTTTTTAATGATGGCCCTGGGGTTCTAGAATGTCTCCCAGAAGAGGTCCACCAAAGCACATCTCTGATGGCTTTTGAGAAGGAGCTGCAGGACTTCTCTATTGAGGAAGGTACCACCACACCATGCCTCAGAAAGGATATTACAGGATTGGGGAAAGTGCAGAAAAGGGCAACTAGAATGATCAAAGGGTTGGTTTTTCCCTACAAAGAAAGGTTAAAGCGCTCGGGGCTCTTTAGCTTGGAGAAACCACGGCTGAGGGGTGACACGATCGAGGTTTACAAGATGATGCACGGGATAGAGCAGGCCGAGAAAGACCTTTTCTCCCTTTCTCACAAAATGTGTATGATGAAGACTTAAATATTTTTAAAATAATAAAAGTGAGAATCCTGGTGGACATGCATGCACTAATACGTATGGGCAGCTGATTGAACTATGTCAAATGTTCTCGATCCTATCAGTGGTAAATTCCACTGCCGGTACGTATTCTCCTCTCTTAGAGATGGTTCTTGACTTCCACCTTGGCTCTGTAGCAGAACAAAGGGGTGGTCCATTACTTATGTTAAAAGGGCTTATGTCAACTAATGGAAATTGATAAGGCAAGATCCGAGAAAGAGATTAGGAATCAAAGGATAAGAACATAAAAAGGGCCTGGCACAATCAGACCAATTGTCAATCTTCTCCAGCACCCTTTCCCACACAGTGGCCAACCAGTTCCTCTGGAGGGCCAACAACAGGGCAGAGGCTGAGGCCTTTCCTTGATCGGGGAATCTCCATCGCCTTGAAGTTCCAGGCCCCCAAGCTGTGAGATTGACCCAAACCAGGGCTAGGGCGTTCTCGGTGGCAGCTCCCACCTGGTGGAATGAGCTCCCGGAGGAGCTCCGGGCCCTGCGGGACTTGGTACAGTTCCGCAGGGCCTGCAAGACGGAGCTCTTCCGCCAGGCCTTTGAGGGGGAGCCGCCGCCGCCACTATTCCACCAATGAGATTTTAACCATCTACCTCATATGGTGGGGGTAGATGTCGCCCAATAGAGCCAGGAAACATTTCTCCTGGCGCCCAGGCTACGAAGAACCGGCCGCCAGTGTGGGACATCGCACATCTTGGTTTTTATGTAAATTATCAGAGCACCAAATTTTATGTAGGATACATTGTTTTATTATGCTGTATTGTTGTATGCATATTTTAACTTCGGCATGGCCGTCTGTTAGCCGCCCTGAGCTGTTAGATAGGGCGGGATATAAATCCCAAAAATAAATATAAATAAATAAATAAGAACATCAGAAGAGCCCTGCTGGATCAGACCAGGGAGGGTCCATCTAGTCGAGCATCCTGTCATACACAGTGGCCAACCAGTTCCTCTGGACAGCCAGCAACAGGGCATACAGGCCAAGGCCTTCCCCTAATAAGAACACAGGAAAAGCCCTGTTGGATCAGACCAGTAAGGGCCCATCCAGGCCAGCCTCACGTCTCACACAGGGGCCAGCCAGTTTCTCTGGAGGGCCACCAACAGGGCAGAGAGGCCGAGGCTTTCCCCTGATGTTGCCTCCTGGCTCTGGGGTTCAGAGGATTAGTGCCTCTGAATGTGGAGGGTCCCCTCAGCCACCGTGGCTAGTAGCCATTGATAGACTTCTCTTCCATGAATCTATCTAATCCTTTTTTAAAACTATTTATTTCTGTGGCCATCACTACATCCTCTGGGAGCGAATGCCGCATTTTAATCACTCTCAAACAAGAAGAATTAAGTAGTAGAGTTGCTGATTGACAATATAAAAAGAAGGGAGGAATCAAATTTGCAAGTGTTGCAAGTCAAAAACATATACCGCAGTAAATTATAACACAGGATTTCTTTCTAGGGATGAGCAGATGATGCAGCCTGATTTTAGCACAAAGTTGATCTGCACTGGAAAGCCAACCCCTAAAGCTACATTCATCACATCACAAACAAAACCTGCCCTCCGTGTTTTACAAAGGTGTGGAGAAAGATCTTGCCCTTCCCACCAAAACGTACCCTGGACCTCCAAAGTAGCCAAACTCTTGTCATCGACGGCGTCGCACATGTATTTCCCTTGGTCTTCGTATTCACACTTGTGTATCGTGAGGCTCCTTTTTGTCCCTCGGGAAATCATTACCAGCTTTTTACTTGGCCGTAGCTCGATCCCATCCTGAAAGGAAGAGGTCTCAGTGAGGGTTTATCGGTGCACCCTTAGTGGATTCACTCACCCATGCATGACTTGCCAAATTGGATATGCAAACAATAGAACAACGTTTGAGTCCAGTGGCACCTTTAAGGCCGACAAAGTTCAATTCTGGGCAGGGGTCATTTCCTGTAGGAGCGCACAGGAGCGGAGCTCTGGCAGTAAAGAGCCCAGGGGGCGGGCACATGCAACAAGCCCCGCCCCCTGCTCCCAGCAGCCCTCAGTCAGAGCAAGAAGCAGCCAGGTAAGTTGCAGAGCTCCCCCGGCCCCCCGGTCCAAAACAGTCCAGTGGCACTTTTAAGACCAAGTTTTATTCAGGTACAAGCTCTCCCTCCTCTGCGAGGACAGATCTGCACGTCCCCCCCCCAATGGCTAGCAATCCAAAACAGTCCAGTGGAGCCTGAGTGGTGGGTGTTGCCTTCTGACACATTTCCGGTGATGTCAGGGGGAGTGGCATATGCAAATCAGTTATGCTAATGAGCTCCTGCACCTCTTTTTCTACGAAAGGACCTCTGATTCTGGGTATAAGCTTTCGTGTGCATGCACGCAAAATTAACTTTGGCGCCGGTCACAAAGGCCGGATAACACGGGGGGGGGGAGGTGTGGCTATTTGCGCCGTCGCAGTTTGATCCGCGATTATGCAATCAGACGCGACGGCGGTGCAGCGGGGTTTCATCAGTCGGCGTCCGCGGCAAAGATGACAGCTGAAGGGGATAGCTGCGCGCCAGCGCGAGCACACCAACCAAGTCCGTCAGCAGCCTGTGGCAAACCAGTTGCTAGGACTTGTTTGCAGGTATTTTTTAACTACGGGTTTTTGGCAGGAAGCCACGGGTGCGCTACACTTGCCAGATGTGGCGGTGTGATCATGCACGGATAATCCGCCCGGCATCCGTGGCTCTCTCGTGGCAAATTTGCCGTGTGAACGGGGCCTTTGTTAATTTTAAAGCTGCCACTGGACTCATGTTTTGTTCTATTGCTTCAAACTAACATGGCTACTAATGAACAGAGATCGAGGCAGCTCTTAAACAAGGTGATTTCTTTATGCAACTCATAACACAGGACGACGCAACACAGAACAAGCTAACTTTTATACGTTTTGAAGTGGTAAAAAACCACACCTCTAAAATAGATAACAACCAATGAAATAATAGTGCTTGGGACCAATGGGAATTGTTCCCGCCGAAGTCAGGGTTCGTTTGGATTGGTCTGCTTCCCGACACCGACCAAGCCTGTTGCATCTTTCAGGATACACAGAGTCAGTGGAGTTTGTGTCTGAAGCGCAGGCTTGTTTTCCCTAAGCAATATCCCGTTTAGGTTACATAAGCCTCGCACGTAAGTGACTACAGGTTTTATCGAATCACACGTGATCAATAGGCAGTATCAATAAACGAATACATAACAGCTACCCACCTCACATGGCTACCCACAGCTACCCATGGCTGTGTTTCAATCTTCCCGAAGCCGACCTGAGCCTGCTTCAGCGGGGCGGGTGGGGTATAAATTTGATAAATAAATAAATATTTCCCCCCTCTATTGGCTGCCTAGCTTTGGCATCTTTTATAATTGCAAGAAAATGTGTGCGAGAACCAGGGCTCTTTTTGTAGAAAAATCCCAGCAGGAACTCATTAGCATAATAGGCCACACCCAACAGCAGAAACTCATTAGCATATTAGGCCACACCCCTGACACCACAGCTCATTAGCATATTAGGCCACACCCACCTTTTGCTTCTTATTCTTTTTACCTTGTTTGTTGTCCAAACCCAGGGCCTTTTTTTTGTAGCAGGAACTCCTTTGCATGTTAGGCCACACACCCCTAATATAGCCAATCCTAATGAGTTTCTGCTGTTGGGTGTGGCCTATTATGCTAATGAGTTCCTGCTGGGCGTGGCCAACTTGGGAGCCAGCCGGAACTCCGTTCCTGTGCGTTCCCACCCAAAAATAGCCCAGCCGCGAGAACCACCCGAAATGCCTAGGGGCGGGGGGGGGGAGTAGGAGACGCCTTGCTGATAAAATCAGTACCTTCCGCCACTTCACGTTTGCGTTAGTCCTGGAGACTTCACACTCAAGGGTCACGTCCTCCTTGTGCTGAACTTTGACGTCTGCTAAGGGCTTGGTTATCTTTACCGGCCGTTCTGCCAAAGGAAACGGAAGACAATAAACAGAGGTATGAATGATCGGGTTTTAGAGACTGTTGCTTGGCCACGCAAACACATAGCAAAATGGCATTTCTCAGTATCGAAGAAGAGAAGAGATTGGATTTATACCCCGCCCTTCACTACCCAAAGGAGTCTCAGAGCGGCTTACAAACTCCTTTCCCTTCCCCTCCCCACAACAGACACCCTGTGAGGTAGGTGGGGCTGAGAGAGCTCTGACAGAAACTGCTCTTTTTCAAGAACAGCTCTTATCAGAACTACGGCTTGCCCAAGGTCATCCAGCCAGGTGCGAGTGGAGGAGTCGGGAATCAAACCCGGTTCTCCCAGATTGGAGTCCGCGCACTTAACCACTACACCAAACGAGCTTTTGATCCGCAACTTCGAAGGCCCACAAATGTGTATTTGTGCTTTGCTCCAGTAGGAGGAGCCAGAGTGTTCCTGCTCCCCCACCGCTATTGGGAGGCAACATGGCGTTATTTTGAGTTTGCAAAGGTAATGTTCATGTTACCACCTCCTGTTCCACGTGGCTTCAGGGCCTGTCTTATGTCTAGGAGGTGCAGCCTTCCAGTCACAGTGTGTGTTGGGGGTGGGGGGAGCTACATTCGCTATAGCCTCCCCACTGAAATACTAGGGCTGCCCGACCTCACACTACGGAAGAAGGCCTTCTTGCCTGCCGCTGCTCAAAAGCCATGGTGGGAGAACAAAAACTGTATAACTTCCTTCTAAACGAAGAAACGAAGGAAGAAACAATAGAACCATGTATGAGGTTGTGGATGAAAGATTTGGGTTATAATATAAAGGTGGAGAAATGGGCTAAAATGTGGAAATCAGCAAAAATTTTAAGGGCTACATCCTACAAAGAAAACATCTTTAAAATGTTTTACAGGAGGCATCGATCACCAGACAAAATAGCAAAATGTTATAAAAATGTTTCAGGGAACTGCTGGAGGTGCAAGAAAAATATTGGATCTTATTTCCACATTTGGTGGAGGTGTGAGAAACTGGCTAAATTTTGGAAAAGCATACAGCAACTAATAGTAGAAATAGTAGAAATAGATCTGAAGCTAGAACCAGAAATATATCTGCTCAATATGTTGCCAGATGGGATTAAATATAATGATTTGTGCATAATAATGTATATACTTAAGATTTCTAGAATTATTTTAGCTAAATGCTGGAAATCAGAAAAAATACCAGGTAGAGAAGAGTTGATTATAAAAATTATGGAAATTAAAGAAATGGATAAACTAAATATGATACTGTTTCATCAATTTTTTTTTGCTTAAACAATTTTATTCTTAGGATACATCCTCTTATTCCTACATAACATAGTTAAAGATTCCATTTTTATATAAAACTAAATATGATACTGTTGGCAAAAGAAGAAAATGTGTTTAAAAAAAGATGGCAAAAATTAGATAGATGGATAGAAAAAGATGTGTAAAGAATCTCCAAAGTATATTCTGTATTAAGAATTTGTGGGTTTTTTTGTAATTTTGTTTTTGAAAATAGATAAATAAACTATATATATATTAAAAAGTCATGGTGGGAGAAAACCTTTTTTAAAAAAGCATTGGTGTAATGTAATTTGCTACATCAGTTCTGGGGGGGAAACAGAAATTATGTAGGGTAGCTCTAGGAATCACTGGAAACTCTATGGTTTAGTGACAAAGCAGCACACGCAATGTCCCAAGTCCACCCCTGTCCACAGCCTCAAACCTCCCACCAGTTGCTAGGCACCGCCTAGCAACCCTTGACAAGCAGGGTTGAAATATGAAGATTCCAAATAAACACTAGGGGCAGACTGGGGGGAAGAAACGGCCCTGGAAAAGGGCCCAACCCCCACCCCACTCTGGCACTGCCCCCCAAAGGAGGAAGGGAACACCTGCCCAGCCAAACAGTCAGACTGCTTCTTCCGTGTCGGGAAGGGCACCCATGTCCCAAACAGTGTTCCCTCTAAGCTGAGTGAGTGTGAGCTAGCTCACAGTTTTTTAGCCTCCGGCTCACACATTTTTGTCTTCGCCCAGGAAGGACGGCTCCAGAGCAAACTAATTTATGCAGCAGCCAAACTGCTCGCTCACCACTTTAATGCCAGTAGCTCACAAGGTAGAGTTTTTGCTCACAAGACTCCACAGCTTAGAGGGAGCATTGCTCACAACCCATCTCAAATGTAACATCCAGTTTGAGCCTGAGCTGATAACTCTTATAGCAGAGACAGCTTCAAGAGGAGGCAGGATATACATATGGAGCAGAGATCCATGGGTGGCTGTTAGCTGCGGTGGCTCAAGTGGTTAAGACGCTGAACTGCAGGCTGTGGAAGGTCAGTAGTTCAGCAGTTCGGGACCCGGGTGCCGCATGACGGAGTGAGCTCCCATCTCTAGTTCCAGCTCCTGCCAACCTAGCAGTTCGAAAGCAAGACATTGCAAGTAGATAAATAGGTACCACTTCGGTGGGAAGGAAACAGCGTTCCGTGCGCCTTGGTGTGAGTCATGCCGGCCACATGACCACGGAAACATCTTCGGACAGCGCTGGCTCTTCAGCTTGGAAACGGAGATGAGCACCGCAACCCTAGAGTCGGATCCGACTGGCTTTCGAGCAAGGGAACCTTTACCTTTACTATAGATGGAATGCTCTGGCTGGGGCCAGTGATGCTCTGTCTTCTTGGTGCTTGAGGGGGGACAGTGGGAGGGCTTCTGGAGTTCTGGCCCCGCTGCTGGACCTCCTGATGGCACCTGAGTTTTGGCCACTGTGTGGCACCTAGTGTTGGACTGGATGGGACATTAGCCTGATCCATCATGGCTTCTCTTACATTGTTAAGAGCAAGGGTCCATCAGTGGCTCTCAGCCCCAAGGTATAAATGGAACAGTCTGTCTGGGGCAGTCATACCCTGTATTCTTGGTGATTGAGGGGCAACAGTGGGAGGGCTTCTGGAGTTCTGGCCCTGCTGGTGGAGCTCCTGATGGCCCTTGAGTTTTGGCCACTGTGTGACACAGAGGGTGCGTTCAGACAGGGCATTTACAGTGGTATAGGTGCCGGATGGAATCGGTGTACTTACCGGCGTTCACACGGCGAACATCTGCCTTCCGTCCCTAACCGTTGCAAAGAGCTTTAAACAGTTGTATTCTGCCACTAGGTCCCCAAGTGGTGGTATCCTGAGTGCAACGGTTGTAATCGCTTTACCACCACCACCACCCGTCTGATCGCTCTCCACCGTTGTAGAGCCACTTCCGTTCGGAAGCCCGAGGCTTCCGATTTTCGCCCGCCATTTTTTTTTTAGGTCGGCGATATGCGCTTGGGCGAAGGTTCGCCCCGGCGTTTGTTTTTTTAAAAAAAGAAAAGGTCCTTAGTTTAACGTTTTAGAGGAGTCCGAGACCTCAGGGAGGGCAGTTTACTCTTTAAACTTTAAAGGTAAGTCCTCTCTTCAGGGCATGCTTTTTGGGACGGGGCGTTTTGCGCATGCGCGAAGATCGCCATTCTGTGGATGGCTGCCTATGCGCATGCTCAAACTGAGTTAAAAAAACAAACCACCGACGCCCGCTGTGTGTGAACGGGCATACAGCAATGGGCTCCGCAGACAGGAGGTAAGTGTGATTGCGTTTCAGCCGGCATAAATTGCAACGGTTGGAACTTGTGCAGTTTATGCCGGCTGAAACGCCCCATCTGAATGTACCCAGAGTGTTGGACTGGATGGGCCACTGGCCTGATCCAACATGGCTTCTCATGTTCTAACTTTGTGACTGAACCCAGTACTGTGCCCGATCCTGATTTTGCTTACTGAGTATCTAAACCAACTGACTCGTGCACAGATTGGAGCGTAATGCTTTGGATATGTCAAAAACAAGGTACAGGAGCGAACCACTCCAAAACTTCAGTTGGTACAGAATACCGCAGCCCAGCTACTATCAGGCACTAAGTAGAATCTACGTATCACTCCCTTTCTGTAGACACTCCATTGATTACTGATCATTCACCAGGTTCAGGTGCTAGATATCCAAAAGGACAGGCTAACCCTAATTCAGACATCCATAGTGGAAACAGAGTTCCGGAAGACAGCAGCGGACGCTCACCTGTCACATTCAGTCTGCCTGTCGAGTGAACACTTTCGGCCTTGAAGGAGACAATTCCCGAGTCCTCCAGTGCCAGGGAAGAGAGAGTCATCGAATGCTTCTTCCCCTGGACGCCGATCCGGCAGTTGTCCTGTGATTTCAGCCTCAAGCCGTCTTTCATCCAGGTGGCCTCCACGTTCTCGTGCGACAGTTCCACCTCAAATGTGGCACACTCCTTCTCGTGGACGTCCACCTGCTGTAAGCCTTTCACCAGCTTGATGGGCCTCACTTAGAAACAAAGAAACGTGAATAATTTATGTATTCATTTTAAAATATGTTATGTTGTGCATTTTTTGGGGGGGGGGACTCAGGCAAGCTAACAGTGCAGCTGCAGGTTGCAGGGATAAAAATTCCGCACCGATGTGAAAACACACTGTTTTTTCTTTAAACAACTTTATTAGGATATGATAAACATATTCAAACATTACTCATCACATTGAATTTTATCCCATCCCCCCCTTCCTCCCTTCCCCCCCCCCTTTCGGCTTCCCACAGTGCTCCAACCTCCTGTCCAATTGTTAAGTTTTTTCGCTTCCGATACCCCCGCGAGCACTTCGGTCCGGGACCCAACATCTCCTGGTAGTGCCAGGTCCCAAAGAGGCCAGGCTGGCCGCTACCAGGGCCAGGGCTTTCTCGGTGGCGGCTCCTATCTGGTGGAACGAGCTCCCGGAGGAGATCCGGGCCCTGCGGGACCTTGTGCAGTTCCGCAGGGCCTGTAAGACGGAGCTCTTCCACCAGGCGTATGAGTAGGAGCCGCCACTACCATCATCATTATTCCATCTGGATGAGGGAACATCAATGCTTCCCTGGAGCAGACAATGCTGAACAGTTCAAATATGCCATCTCTGAAATTTCATGTAGAACACCTAGAGCACTTTAGTCAGTAACTCGTTATGAATGTTTTGTACTGTTGGATTTTAAATGGTTTTAATTATGTTTTATATTGGCGTTTGCCCCTATGTAAGCCGCCCTGAGCCCGCATTGCGGGGAGGGCGGGGTATAAATTGAATTAAATAAATAAATAAATAAATAAATAAAATAATCATGTCTACAGGTAACTCATTTCCTTAAGATTATGTAAAACCTTTTAACCTAATTTTTAACATCTAACATTTTCAACAGTTATCAAAGCTAAATAAACCATCCCTTACATCCCACCTTTTTTCCATATAATCCTTTAAATCTTTCCAGTCCGCAAAAAAATCTTCTGCTGCCATATTGTTTAATTTCCTCGTCAATTGGTCCATTTCTACTGGACAAAAGTAAAAACACACTCCACCAAATGGACCCTCGTTACGGACCAGATCATAGGGGCCAATCCTGTACCTTCCGCCAAGCGTGAGAAAGTGGAACATCTCAACACCCTACTGGGAAGCAGTGTTCCCTCTAAGCTGAGTTAGTGTGAGCTAGCTCACAGCTTTTTAGCCTCCGGCTCACACATTTCTGTCTTTGCTCAGGAAGGATGGGGCTCCAGAGCAAACAAATTCATGCAGCAGCCAAATTGCTCGCTCACCACTTTAATGCCAGTGGCTCACAAAGTAGAATTTTTGCTCACAAGACTCCACAGCTTAGAGGGAACATTGCTGGGAAGTACCACGTGCCACTGATACGGACCAGACTATAGGGGCCAATCCTGCCTCTTCTCCTGGTTCTACTACACACGCTGCCATACGATAATTAATTAACTGATCCATTCAGGCAATTCGCAGGCCATAATATCCTCAAAAAGACAGGCATCTGCTTTTTAGGCAGATACAGTGAGCTAGTTTGGTGTCTTGGCTAAGTGCGCGGACTCTAATCTGGGAGAACCGTGTTTGATTCCCCATTCCTCCACTTGCAGCTGCTGGATGACCCTGGGCGAGCCATAGTTCTGTCAGAGCTGTTCTTAAAAGGGGGGCAGTTTCTATCAGAGCTCTCTCAGCCCCACCTACCTCACAGGGTGTCTGTTGTGGGGAAGGGAAAGGAGTTTGTAAGCCGCTCTGGGACACCTTTGGGTAGTGAATAGGGTTGCCAAAAAAAAAAAACCCCGGTTTGCCAGGGGTCCCCCGTTTTGGGGGGGTTCTACCCGCCGCCGGCCAGATGGCCGGCGGGGGAAGCCCCACCCCCAAAACCCACAGCCACCCATCTCTCTCCCTTTAAGTGTGTGGAACCCGTGTTTCCTCCCAAGCCGGATCTCCGCAAGCTTGCAGGGAAATTCCAGCTTCGTGCTCTTAAAAGGGAAATGCGGCTGCTCTTAAAGGGGAAACGCCGGCGCCTGCATTTAAAAGGGAAACGCCGGCTCCTTTAAGTGCAGGGAACTGCCGTTTCTGGAGATCCGGCGCACAGGCGGGGGGGCGGACCTCCCCAACGTGACATCATCACGTCGGGGATGTCCCGCCCCCTCCAGGAACACCCCCAATTCCCCCGCTGGGAGAGGAAGATGGACTTGGCAACCCTAGTAGTGAAGGTCGGGGTATAAATCTAATCTCTTCTTCTTTTTTCTATTCTTTGAACATAGTCATACCTTTGTTTATGGTTGTCAACTCCAGGTTGGGAAATTCCTGGAGATTGGGGGGGCGGAGCCTCGGGGGCGGGATTTGGGGAGCGAAAGGACCCCAGCGGGGTACGATGCCCATAGAGTCCACTCCCCAAAGGAGCCATTTTTCTCCGTGGGAACTGATTCCTGTAAGTCTGTAGATCAGTTGCAATTCCAGGAAATCCCCAGGCCCCACCTGGAGATTGGCAACCCTACCCACACTGCACTGATTATTATGCTAAATATACCCCACAGCAGGGATCTTATAATTATACTGGCGTTCCCACCCTACTTCCTTACTAGTATCCCTTACATTATGGCTGCTAGCTGCCAGATTTAATTTCTTATTTTCATGGCTTAATTTTTAAAAAGTATACTTATAACTGGGGAGGGTGACTTTAACCCCTCCCTTGCCATTTCCTTGCAAGAAAAAGACAACTCTGATCTGCTGGGGGTGGGGGTGGGGGATATATGTGGAACTGAACATTTCCCCCAGCAGTGATAGAAGCAGATATATAGCCCCTGATTTACTTTACAGCTGTCCCTCGAAGGCCCCGTGTCTGATGTTTCACTCTCGACGCTGTGGGATATTCCAGAAAATCCAGCATCGCCGTTATAGGGGTGACCTTTTGATTGAGTCAGTGGATATTCCGTCACTCAAAACTGGGGAATGTGCTTGTAGGCATACTGGGGCTATTTTGGAGGGTGAACGTCAAGGCAAGGGATTAGCAGAAGCACCTTCTGCCCACTTGCAGGCATAGCAGAAGGGGGGGGGAGGAGG